TATACGACTGCTTAAACACAATTCTGAATGGCAGGGCCAAGGGCAGGAGTAGGGAGTGAAGAATAAACTTAGTAAAGCAGATAAGACCCTGCAAGCTTTGATGATATGCCAAATTCTTCCCTAAGGTTGGGCAAATCTCATAATCTCTCTAAGCTTCATAAGAGTTGATAGTGATACCGGCCTGTAAAGAAGTAAGAAATATCTGAGTAGAAGATAAAAATATCGCTTAGTATTTCAGAGCTTCCATTTACTCCTCGCTATAATGGGCATAATAATACTGCCAGCTCCCAACTTCACAGGAGTGTTTAGAGGATTATGGGCATGCTCACGAGATGCTTAGAAATCCTGTGATGAAAGGTAATGGCCAAATTCATGTCCCATGTGTCTCCTTAAGTGTAAACTGAGATATGTGAAATGATTTATTTTCCATTGCATGTGTGGGAGTGAACAAACACAGGAGAATCTTCTACATCCTTTCTGCATTCTTTTCATTCAAGGCCATCCTCCTGGTGTTCAAAATTGCTAGTGGTCACACACCGGAAGTGTCTACCAAGCCCTAGGTGAGTGGGAAATACCAACCAGGCACAGGCAGGAGCACGGCCACCGTGTGCATCCTGTGATCCTCATGGCACAACCACTCAGAAGTCAGCAGCAATTGGGCAAAACGTTTATGACATCAGAACCTTCCTTAACAAAAACGAATTATCAGCCACAGGACCTGTTCAGATGGAGGAGTTGGGAAATAAACCAGAATACAGAGATGGAGGTGAGATGTCCCTAGTGTTGAATAAAAAGACACGACCACTTCACTAAAACGGGCCTCCCAAATATGAGATAAAATTCACTAATATTAGCTTCTCCCAGAACTGTATAATGTACGTATGTCTCTATTACACATACCTATAAGTACATGAGTATGTCTCAAAGTCCCTATTGAAAGGGTGCAAGAGGCCTATCAAAATTAAGACACACCAATAGGTGATGTTTTAGGCATATTTCTGTACGAATGATATATTTCACAATGCGAAACCAAAACTGATGTCAGTGTCAGCGCTACTCCCCAGACTCCCACACAACCACCTCATCCCCGACACCTCCTGTTCACTAAGGGACCCCCACCCTCAACAGTGCCTGTGTGTCCCCCTTGCTAAACTTTTTATGTTAGAATAATCTGTGTATTTTCCCTCTCTAGACTAAAATATTTGTATCATTAACAACTTGTAAGTCAATTAACAGATTCTGAGTTCTAAAAATGCTCGTTGAACTTTCTCCCATTAAAATTAAAACTACTAGGCAGTATAACATTTGTTCATATTTGGTTCTCCAAATTCTGAAGTGATTGTCACATTATATAAATTAATAATTTAATAAACTGGATTTATTTTTTTAGCTAAAACAAATCAGTCATGAAGAATTAAATATTTAGCTCTTTTAATTTTCTACAATGCCCCAATTTTTGTGTACTTAAATAACTTTGTTTTGAAATTCCCAGGTAAAACTTTTTTAAAAAGCTACACATCAACCATATTTAAAGTAAAGACAGGTCCTGAAAGGATGACATATTAACAGTCTTATCTCCAAGGTGTCCCTTATGTTGATTTGTCTTACAAGTCCAAGAAAAGAGATCTAAGTCACAATCTTGTCAAATATTAACTCTTGCCCATCTTGCCTTTTAAAGACTAAAATATTTGGAAAAAAATTAACTTTAGATATTTTCAAATTACCTTCCATATCACTGAACTCCTCCTTTTTTTTACATCATTATTCTCTCTGCTGCGCTTTGGGAAATTTCTTCAGATCTTCCCATTCTGTAATTCCTTCTCCAGTAACCAACTATTTCACTCATCCCTTAATTATTTTCTTCAACACTGGGATGAACCCAGGCCCTTCACACTGAGCTATACCCTCAGCCATTTTTAGTTTTTCAGACAGGGTCTCGGTCTTGCCATTCTCCTGCTTCTGTCTCCCAGACTGCTGAGATTACAGGCAGACCCTACACTTGGCTCATATGACACGTAAAAAGTTTCAAGAAAGAGAATTCTTGCCCTTTATCCAGATCCACCACTTATTGGCCCTTTTCCCATTTTCTGTATCATCCTCTCAACACACACACACACACACACACACACATAAATCATATATGTAGATTTTTTTCTGAACCACAGGAGGACATAGTAACCCTTACTGTAAACATTTCCATGTTTTGTCTAAACCCAAAAATATTATTACAAAACCAAAAAATTTTTAATTTACCACTGGTACAGCAGTGCTCAACTTCTCCATATTCAAATTCTATTTCTTGTCCTAGTACCTTTTATAGCATAGTCAGTATCCATCTAAGTCCAGGATCCTGTCCCGGATCACTCACTACATGTAGTTATCTCTTTAGTCTCTCTTAACCTAAAACAATTCCTTACACTTTAATTTCTTTAACCTGAACCTTCTTTTTTGGAACCGGAAATCAAATTCAGGGCCTTGAGCTTGCCAGGCAGGCATTGTGCTGCTAAGCCACGTTCCTGGCCGACCTTAACTTCCTTTTAAAGGTGTATGACCATTTTTAAAATTTTAATTTTATAGAATATCATATTACTTCCTATGATCAGGTTATGCATTTTTGGTATAAATGATAAGGAAGTGATTTTTGTGTCCTGGAGTGTAACTTGAGGTGCAGCATATTGAGGTACAGCAGTACCGGAGACAGGAACTTGATTGAGATGTTTTCTAGCACTCTGCAATACATATGAAATTTTATAAAGAACCACTGATGATTTTTCCAATGCTACCTACCATCCCTTTTTTATTTATTAATTTTCTACTTAAAAGAGCTTTTCTCTTTTTATTCATTTGCATCACTATAGTAGCATGGATTTTTATTTTTGCCAATGGCTTTAAACCATTCCCATCATTACTTATTTTGTTTAACTAATCCTAAAGCTGGAAGCAGGGCCATCTGCCCTCCATACTGGCTCCTACTTAGCTCATGTACCCGTAACTCTGAGCAACTCTTTACTTTCCAGCACACAAAAAAATTACTCTCTCCACAGCCTCGGAGTCAACTTTTTCTCTAGTGCAAACTGGCTTTTAAGGGACAATGGTACTTAGAAGTCAAAATCTGGGCACAAAATGTGTTCACAGATACTTACATCATTCCTTATGGACCCTCTCAGTGGGCCGAGCTGAAGTATGGGCACAGGCACACACACTTCTCTTTAGTATCTATTCTAAGATGTGCATGATTTCACATAGACATTTCTAGTACCAAGTGAATAACACTGTGAAATTCCTCTATCCCAAAGTCAGAAATCTGGCTCTCATTCTCTGCAGTATTACTCATCTGCTTAAGGAATCACATTAAACCCCAGTTTCAGAAGTGCTAGCGCACACCACAGTGGGGGAAAAATGTCTCTCAATAACGCCTAGCAGGTTTATGTGAAATTCTTATACAGTAAGGAGTTGTAAGTAAAACAAATCTCACATGTAACCTGATTCCCAATATTCACCATTGCTTACAGATTCAGATTTCCACCTGGTGTCCTCAGGCTAAAGGGCTTCTGTCAGCATTTCTTCTTGGCAGGTCTGCTCGTGACATCCTTAGATTTCGTTTATTTAGTACTTTTAATCCATCTTCTTTTTTAAAGGACAGTTCTCTACAGAAATTGGGGCTGGCAGGTTTTCGTTTCTCTTTTAGCAGTTTTAAAGTTTTATTCTATTGTACCCTGCACTTGTTTTTGATGTTTCACCTGAATACTGTTTCGCATAATACTTTGTTTATACAGTGCATATTTTCATTCTAGATGTACTATACTCTTCAAATACAAAGTTTCTATCACTTGTCTTCATTTCTTTCACTATTTTCTACTTCTGAAACTCTAGGTATGCTTTCATTGACTTTTTTCAAGTCCTTTAACACTAGTAAGTCTTTTAAAGTCTGCTGATTCTAGACTTCCTGTGATCTAGGGGTCAACTTTAGCAACTGTTTTCTCAGCAACAGCTCCCATTTTGTTGTTGTTAGTATTTTATTGTATGCAGAGTGATATTCATTCTGGACAGTGTTTTGTCTTGGCTTACACTCTAAATTCACTCTGAATGCTGTCTTTCCTGTGCTGGGCAGCGGTTGACATCTGTGCAAGTTCCTTCTGAAGCATTCTGATTCCTGCAGGATTTGTGGCATTCCCTTACCCACACACAGCCCAGAAACCCACCCAGGATGCAGGCAGTCTGGGGTTCTCTCTTCACTACACTTCTCTTTATTCTGCAGCAGGTCTCAAAATTCCCAACTCTGGGGCCGGGGATTTAGCTCAGTGGTGCTACCACCTGCCTCACAGGCTCAAGATCCTGAGTTCAATCACCAATACCAAAAAAAAAAAAATAATAAAAAATTCCCAACTCTATTCTTGATTCTTCAAGCCAGTACTGTAAACAAGCTTTCTGATGGGTGCTGGCCATCCTGCCCAGCAAGGCGGCCAGCAGCCTGAATCACATACACACCAGTTTTGCCGGCCAGGTTGCTTCTTCAGGCATCAGCACCTCTCTAATCTCTGCACTGCTTACAGTTGCTCTCTAGGACATCAAGAAGTTTCTAGTATTTGTCCAGAATTTTAAATTGCTATCTATGGAAGATTTATTCCAATACAAACTATTTTGACATAGAACTCCAATCAGTATTTTTATTTTAACAATTACTTTTGTTTCTAAATTATCTAATAGCCAGGTGTGGTGGCTCACATCTGTAATCTCAGCTGGTTTGAGAGGCTGAAGCAGGAAGATGCCATGAATTCAAGGACAGACTGGGCTATACAGCCAGTCAAAGGCCAGACTAAACTACACAGAAAGACCCTGTCTCAAAAAGCAATATAACGGACCGGATATTTAGCTCAGTGATTCCACTGCCCGCTTCACAAGCACAAGGTTCTGATGCAAGGTCCCAAGTTTGATCCCCGGTACCAAAACAAAAAAACCAATGATTTAATAATCCCAGTTTAAAATCTGCCTGGGGGTCAGATGTGTTGGTTCATGTCTGTAGTCCCAGCACTTTGGGGACTGAGGCAGGAGGAATATTACAATCTGAGCCCAGCCCACCAATTTGGTGATTAGCAAGACTGTTTCAAGTGAAAAATAAAAAGGATTGAGCATGTAGTTGTGCAGTTCAATTCCCAACACTGCCAAAATAAATAAATAAAATGTATTTTTTATATTTTTATTGACATGTCTGATTCAATTTTTCTTTAAATGTTATTACAATTACTTCATATGTATTCCTTATAAATCCACTTTGTAAAATCCTTGAAATATAATCTGTTGGTTAGTTTGTTACGACTTCTACCTGTGACAGTTAGCTTTTCTGACTGGTTATCTGTGATCCTGTGATCTTTTGGTTTTTTTAACTATGGAAAAATGGGGGACCTAAACTGAGGCTGCTGTCCCTCTAACGATATACATTTGATCTCATCACTAGCTAAGGGACCCAAACCAAAGGAGGCCACTTACCCACTGTCCTAGCTTAACTGCTGAGTCTCAAATGTAACTCCCTGCCTCTAGCCAGTCAAGTGCAACAAGTGTGTGTGTGTGTATTCTAAAAACCCCACCTTTTACCTATACTTACTTCTTACAGTTTGATTTCAGGTCACATATTTAGTATATCCCTTGAGATTTCATTTCTTATGAATCTCCCAATGCAACAGGAAATGTGATTTATAGAGACTCTTGTTTTGAATGAAGACGTTCCACAAGATTCCAGTCTGTACATTAGGGAAGTTTTTTATGTCATTCTGAAAGGGTATATGATACTTTATTGCATATTACTAACTTGTATAAGCCAGAAAGAATTATATTTAAATTTCTTATTTCTCATAGTAAGTACTACAATGTTATCAACTTATTTTTTTCCACATTTTTTTTCTCACTGACTTTATTGGTACATTTTATGTGTACAACACAGTTACATGCATCATTGGGATCTTGTACCTTTACATGACAGGTCTTAGTTCTCATTTTTTTCCCCTTATCCCTGCCCTCCTTATTATTTATTTTTTTAAGAGTAGGAAATTTTATGGGAAAAAGCTCCTGAGAGAGACAGGAGGGGAATTGGAAAATGTGTTGCCCAGTTACCAACCTTTTTAACAAATGCAGGACACTTTTAAGTAAAAGAAATTATGTAACTCTGAATATCTGCCACTATTCAAGGACATTTATTAAATGGCTAACTTTTACCTGGCACATCACTTCACTGACCTGTTTCTTTTCTTTTTTTTTTTTTTTTTTT